AACAAAACGCAATTCGAATAAGAATTAATAAGAAAACATCAAAATCAAACTTTAGCTGGGGAAGGTCAAATCAAAAGATTTAAAGTATTATAATGAAAACAGCCTTAAGCTGTACAGTGTGCAGAAGAGGACTTATTTTTTTTAATCATTTTCCTTCAAGCAAAGTGATGAAGCCAATAGGAGACAAGAGATAACTGGTAGCGAAAGAAAAGAAGAAAACATTTGTGAGGAGAAATGACAATAAAAGAATAGTATTTACAAAAAAAAAAAAAAGAAGACAGATGTCGATTGGCATTACATTTAAATCTTTTGAAAATCGTAGTTAAAACGAAAGCAGTAAACCAGAAGGGAGTTCGACCAGCGAGAAGTGCCTGAAAGGAAACAATTAGCGTAGAACTTGCGGATATATCAACCAATTTGAAAAGTAAATGCCAATTTAATACTACGCATAAATTCAGGAAGTCTAGGTACTAAAACGAAAAGTACTGTCATGAAAGTATTTATAGAAAAGGTACGGGGAAACTCCATTACAGCGGGTGAGAAAAGGGACGGAAACCAAAATGACAGGTCAGAACCGATAACAGTTTTCTTTGCGTTTAATGGTTTTCATACATTTCTCAAGGATATTAGCACGTAAATGAATGTAATCGATCCGTCTCTCTCTCTCATATATATATATATATATATATATATATATATATATATATATATATATATATATATATATATATATATATTAAATAGAAGACAGGAGCCGCAAACGTTTTTGGTTGTAATTATGTTTTATTTTCCATAATTTTGCTACACGTGTTACCATCATCAGGCAAAGGGTAGAGATTTCCACATAGTATTAAAAAATAATTCATTTTTTTCTTTGTTTTTCGATGTTAAATATTCTCGATATAAGACATTTTCTTTTTTGTGTTAGTGATCCAAACGTCTTTCTTGAACTGGCAGTGAAAAGTTCTGCGTGAAGGTTTATAAAACAATTAAGATTTGTTCTAGAAATGATGGAGTAGTTATCGGCACGCTTATCTTTTAATGACCCTTATGTGTTCTTAGATCTATTTCCATTTTTGTGTGCTTTTGTCAGCATGCGTGTATAGATATGTATGTCCCCTCTCCATACATACACACTGTCTCACTAAGAGGAATCAGTGAACACATCTGTACACCCCCACACACATACACACACACACATACCGTCCCATTACAAGGAATCAGTACATACACACATACGTACATACAGATACTTCCCAAGTTACATGGAATCAGTATACATGCACACAAACATACATACACACATATATATGTACACACATACACACATACTTCCTAAGTTGTGTGGGGTTTGTGTGCGTGCCTGTGAGTAGTTCTTCTGCTTTTGTCAATATGTCTATATATATATATATATATATATATATGTAAATATATACACACATTTGTGCCGTAAATTTTCACCAACAACATTGATTTATTTATTGCTGTCTTTGATCCGTCTTAATGAAACACCCTTATATATAATATATGTGTGTGTGTGTGTGTGTCTGTGTCTGTCTCTCCCTCTCTGTGTGTGTGTGTGTGTGTGTAGAGAGAGAGAAAGAGATAAAGGCAGACAGTCAGACCGTGGCATGGATATGTGAAACTCGATATTTCCGAAGAGATGCTGAAAAGTTCTCAACCATTCTCACCTCCCAAGACCTGAAGAAACCATTAAATATTTAGATTTATCTTTTTTTTTTTCTTTTTTTTTTTTTAGGGTTTCTTGGTCGGTCAGAAAACTTTCCATTTCTTCTTCCTACAAAGCTGATGTCAGTTTAACATAGAGCTCAAATGGCAATGTTGGGGTTGGATATTCCTAAAGAATGGAGCCTTACTGAACTGAAAATGAACATTCAATATCCTAGCTTTTAGCTTGCCGCCAACAACAATAGCAAGTAAATTACTATCACTCGCGACTAAGATACGTTAACAAAAATAACAGTGTCATATTTTATATCGTGTTAGCGTGTAAGATAAGGTCATTGAATTACTTTTAAAAGCCGAACCGGAATAATCCAGAGTTGGGAAATCGAGGTCGACTGGAGAAAAATAAATGCGGACTATGTCGGTTTAAGAGAAAAATCATATCTTTAGAGAAAAGTGAGATTGTTATCGATAATAATAAGAGAAAGTAATTGAAACAAATTTTTAATATCTGCAATTAGAGTAAGCGTAAAAAATCTCATTTACATACGATTTTTTTTTTTAGATTTTAAGATAAAGACAGAATAAATTATTCCGAGCTTTTAAAATCTTTTAAATTTCTTTATTTTTGTTATTAGTATAGTCATCATTCGCAACATACATACGCATAATATGCATTACATGGACATTCGAATATTACGAATATTTACGAATAATTACGAATAATTACGAATATTTACGAATAATTACGGATATTTACGAATATTTACGAATATTCAAATGAATATTTGTTTCTGTGAATATTACTGAGCACAAACATTTGAAAAATAGTAACTCCGAGAAACATTTATGCCGGCAATTCGTATTTTATTAACTGGCAAAAATCGTGGCTCATTTTGTTAATACAACGACGTATGGTCATTTATTTCTCATTCAGGTACTTCGGAATTAATCCCACACATACAGAGCTATCAAGACACACAGATGACATATAAACAGAAGCACACTCGCTAAGAGACACGTTCGCACCGAGGCACACACATTAAAAACTGGATGAAAATACACACATATACAGACATACACACGCAGATAATCACACACACAAACACACACACGCATAAGTATACATAACCCGAAATATATGCACGCAGCTATCAGGAACACCCACATAAAAGACACACATACACAAGAGAGACATTCGGATATAGATACATATATAAATACATAAACACATGCAGAAACATATACACACGAACGTACACGCATACTTGCAACTTCCAAGAGACACGCACACAAGTTTTACAGAAAAGCACAATTGCTATGAGATACATTCACGCAAAGACGCACTCAGACGTATACTTACACACCGAAACACACACTGGGACACACTCATAAATGTTGATAGATTAAATATCGTATTACAAACTTTTTGCGAATAACAATTATTTTCCCAGATACACATCCTACTATTTAATCCGTAGCTGGAGGGAGGATATGTATTCATACCTTTCTCAATTGTATTTGCGCGTAGGTGAATGTAATGAAATGTAATGAACTTGACTAGAATTCGAACTCGGTGAGGTGAGTTTGAATTCCAAGCCGCTATCCATGAAAACACGCACATATTCCCATAGTGGCAAAATCAATCACATAGACAAATGAAGAAACATACATCGACACACACAGACACACACAAAGAAGACATAAATGGACGCATAGAATGACCTGTTGGAAAGTGAGTGTAGGCAGAAAAGACACAGAAACGATTTCAAAATCTGTCGCAGTTTGATAATTCCAGTCCTGATATGAAAACAAGACTCCATTTTTGGATGTGAGCTGAATATTGCAGAAGTTATCAAAAATATTCTCAAGCGGTATAATGAAGTGATCTTTTTTAAGCTTTTTAACAAGAGGTCGCATACACAGAGACTCCCTCTCCACACACACACACACACACATATATATATATATATATATATATATATATATATGGAGGGAGGGGTCTATATTTATAGGAGATATAGTTGGCATTGTAGGAGGTCGCTTGATGTACACGATGTACGCAAACGGTCCATCACCTCGAACGAGACCAGAAACGTGGTTTTCAGAACGATATGATCATATTAATACGAACAGAATGATATATATATATATATATATATATATATATATATTGAGAGAGAGGGATCAAGAGATCATGTGTTGGTCTTTTTTAAATACGTATTTCATATTTAGCTTTCAAAGGATTATTCATATATATATATATATATATATATATATATATATATATATATAGAGAGAGAGAGAGAGGGAGGGAGAGAGAGATGGTTGTGTTTGATTTTTTGGCTGCACAATATAGTAGGGTCACTTGGGCATCATCTGTGAGGAAAAAAGCAACATGACGCAATTCTCTCTGCCAGAAATTTGGAAATGGCATGCTGTAATGCTTGGCATTCGCGCCGGAAGTTCCAATACGAAACTTTCACAGTGTTTGGGTATCATCTTCTGACAGGGCCTCAAAACTCTACACGAAGGCCTAAATCGAGTGTCTTGAGGAGGTAGTGGTGCCCTGGCTCAAAAGGAAGAACCTATGTCTGGGAAGAGGAATCCGCACCATGGCATACAAGCCGTAGAACCAGCAATGGTTGTCAGACAATTTCTACAACCACATCACTCCTTTCATTTGACCGCCTAACTCCCCAGACTGCAACCATCTTGATTAGTTTGTATGGTGTGCAGTTGAGCGAGAGACTAACAAAATTCATTATAACACCAAAGGTGAAATGAAGACAAGGATTATGGCAGCATTGACCAACTTTAAACAAGGAGACCGTCCAGAAGAGTTTCGGGAGATTCTGAAGTCATTTGGTGGCCGTGGTTAAAGCCAATAGCGGTTTTATTGAATACATTTTCTCTTTTGTATTTCAAGATATTTTTGTTGAACTTGGTAAATAAATCTTTTAAAATGAGATGTCAGTATTATAATTTAGAAAACAGTTCATCCATCACACCCTGAATACATAATATACTTACACACATACAAACACATGCACACATATCTATCTATCTATCTATCT